CACAGTTTCTGTTTGATGGTACCACAGGTTCTCTTTGATCTGTTTGATGGTACCATGGGTTCTGTTTGATGGTACCACAGTTTCTGTTTGATGGTACCACAGGTTCTCTTTGATCTGTTTGATGGTACCATGGGTTCTGTTTGATGGTACCACAGTTTCTGTTTGATGGTACCACAGGTTCTGTTTTGTGGTACCACAGGTTTTTTTAAATCTGTTTAATGGTACCACAGGTTTTGTTGGATGGTACCACAGGTTCTGTTTGATCGGTTTGATGGTACCAAGGATTCTGTTTGATGGTACCACAGGTTCTGTTTGATGGTACCACAGGTTCTCTTTGATCTGTTTGATGGTACCATGGGCTCTGTTTGATGGTACCATGGGCTCTGTTTGATGGTACCACAGGTTCTGTTTGATGGTACCACAGGTTCTGTTTGATGGTACCACAGGTTCTGTTTGGTGGTTCTACAGGGTTTTATGGAGGAGCTCAGATACAATGGGAGTCAAGGGGACTTTGGGTGTGTGACCTCTGACCCCTGAGGGGAAACCATCGATCCTCCAGCAGAGACGAGACAGAAATAAGTCTGGATTAGGAAAGAGGAAAGAAGATCTTGGAAACAGGTAGAGTTTATAAAAATGTTAGAAGTTTGAGGCAGTGGAAAATTTGTGTGACTTTCTTAAACATATTTTATTTTTGTAAAATTTTCAAAAATCCTCAAACTGCAGACAGAAACTCAGAATAACCGTGACTTCCTGTTTTTGGAGCTGATGTTTTCTAAATACTATTCTTCTCCAGCAGGAGTTAAAAACTCTTCTGTTTGTGTCTTTCAGAGTTTAAGGGAGCAGCTGATTGATCCATTGGTTGTTTGGGAAGAACYGGGGCTCGAAGGCCATGGCGACCCGACTCCTCCTCTTCCTGTTGGTCTCCGTGACATTCAGCCACGCTCAGTTCCACTCCGGACAGCGTCAGAAGCCCCGCCTCCAAAGAGACAGGCGCAACATCCGTCCAAATATCATCCTGATCCTGACTGACGACCAGGACCTGGARCTCGGTGACTGAAMCCAACTTGTTCTAAACCCAGATTGTTTGTTGTTTGTTCAACTATACATGACATCATTATTCCTGTTTGGGTTATGGGAGGTTGACGTTGCATCGTCTAACTCTCCGCCTTTYCGCAGGTTCCATGCAGGTGATGAACAAGACTCGCCGCATCATGGAGGAAGGCGGGACTTTTTTCTCCAACGCCTTTGTGACCACGCCCATGTGCTGTCCGTCACGCTCRAGCATGCTCACTGGGAAGTAAGTCTCTTACTGTTCTGTAGACGGTAAAAATCGACCGGGAGTTAAAGCAGAAACAAAACCAGCSCCCCCTGGTGGCTGATTCTAGCATATGTTTAAGCCCCACCCCCTCAAATTAAGCCAGACATTTTCTTGATTACTTGAAACTTCTAGTTTCAGGTTTTTTACGTATCCACGTCAACTTTTGCGTCCCTCAGATACGTGCACAACCACAACACTTACACCAATAACGAGAACTGCTCCTCGTTATCGTGGCAACGGCACCACGAGCCACGGACCTTTGGCGTCTACCTCAACGGCACCGGATACCGGACAGGTGAGGTTCTGTCGGCCGTTTACCGAAGGTTTTCCTGGTGATTACTGGGTCTGACTCCTGGTTCTGGTTCTGCCTGCAGCTTTCTTCGGGAAGTACCTGAACGAGTACAATGGCTCGTACGTTCCCGYGGGGTGGAGGGAGTGGCTCGGCCTGGTGAAGAACAGCCGCTTCTACAACTACACGCTGAGCCGCAACGGCGTCCGCGAGAAGCACGGAGCGCAGTACCCTGAGGTCAGGAGCAGGGACGGGTCTCCTGTGGTTCCAGGCCACAGTCTGGGACCTGCTGGACCTGCAGGTGTTAGTCTGACAGGTCTAAGTTCAGATTAAACAGATCTTAGTCAGGATTAGATCTGTTTGGTGTTGGATTATATTCGAGGACTGGACCTACTGGGTCTAGACTCTGGATTAGACTCGGGTCGTCTCTGTTCGTGTGTGATGACCCCATGTGTTTGTGTGTCCAGGACTACCTGACGGACCTGATCACAGCTGAGTCCGTCCGCTACTTCCGCTCTTCAAAGAGARTCTACCCCCACAGACCCATTCTGATGGTTCTGAGCCACGCAGCGCCGCACGGGCCGGAAGACTCAGCGCCGCAGTACAGCACCGCCTTCCCCAACGCATCGCAGCACATGTAGGTCTCACACACACACACACACACACACACACACACACACA